CAGCACAGGGGACTAGATGGTAGCTCCTTTCCTTGGGATGGAATTTGGATAATGATGCCTTTAATGTTGGTCTCATTCACACATCATACTATACCATACTGTATTGGTGGTGTGAATAGATATTTGGCAGCTTTTTTGCTTGTAAACGCTGGTTTATCGCTTAGTGGTTTTATTAACTATGTTAAGCAAATTCGGACATAATGTAAAGTAAGTACCCTGTCAAAAAGTCTGGCCGTTAGACCATGACTAGCTTGAACAGCTTTCTCCACTGAGTCTCCATTAGCACTATGGAAGGAACTGCTAATGGATGTAATTCAGAAATGCACAGTAAATATTAGATTTGTTTTCCCTTCCCACATTCCTTATTTTATTGGCAGAGGTATTTCCCACCACTAAGTAGTTGACATCTATGAGTAAGAACTACAATATATACAAATAAAACTCAAAACATTCTGAACTAACTCACATCCCAGCTGTGAAACTAATTGCTGTTATTTGTACCCACTGCTTAGGTCTAAAACTGAGGTAAAGTTTATCCTTCTAAGGGAGAGAGATTCTGTTCATGCATAAGCTATAGTTATGATACTGTCACATTAATATGATGGCTTAGATTTATCTGCCTTTATTCGTCTTAAAAACTCATGATGGTGTTCCTATTTATCTATTTTCCCTTTTATCCTCACAACTCGGCTAGGCTACGTTGAGAGATAATAATGGAGCCCAAATCACCCAATTGGCCACATAGTTGAACTGAAGCTTGAAGACAAGTTTCTTCAATACTAGTCCACTATGTCAGTTTCAACAAGTATAGTTTTTGCCTGGATGAAAATACAGTTTGGGAACAAAATCATATTGTGACTGGTTTAGATGTTACACAATGCACATGGTGGTAGACAGTGATTCCAATCAACTTTGGAATAATTACAAATCCAGTAATATCGGGCATACGCAAACTAGCCAACCATGTTTTATTTCAGTGAGTTGAAGGCAACCCAAGCAATATGATTAATTTATGCTTCAGCATTGTACAGTCACAAACAATGTTGTTGACTGGTTAAGTAACCCTTGAAAAGCTTGTCTTGCAAAGACAGCTGCTGATAGTAAGAACATCACTAAAATGAATCCTGGGGCAGATCAGTTCTTCCTCATAGATTTTCAAGCAAAAGCTGGATAATCACTTCTTGGGGATACAGTACTTTCCTGCCTTGAACAGAGCACTGAATGTTATACTGTGCATCCCTGCATAACCCTTCCAATTCATATTCTTATTTAAAGGAAAAAAGCTAAAGCAACTATCAGGAGTTATGATGTGAAAGCTTTGCCTTCAGATACTGGATAGGAAGAAACTGATTGTGTTTCCTCCTTGACATATGACAGTAGCTTTAAGACAGGGTGAAATATATTGGTTTTTCAGACATTAGACACTTAATTTCTATCAGCCCCATAATAATGATTGGAGTGATTGGGTATTGTAGTTTAGTACTATCTGAAAAGTTATCTACCTTTAAGAGCTGCATAACATTCAAGGACGTTAAGTATTTCCATCTCTTCATCTCTATGGCAAGAATAATTTCACTTACTATTGCTCTAAATGTTAAAGGCACAAGGTAGCCCAGAGCTAAAATTTAGCTTAGATTGAATTGCTCAATTGCATAACCCTATTATTTGATGTATACCTGGAGTTAGACCTCTTCCCTTTTAGACATCAATGTTACCAACCTGAGTTAACAATATTAAATCTCAGAAAACCAATAAAGATAAATTTTGAACAGCACCAAAGATACAGGAAATCTGTGTTCATAGAAGGAACTGGATTGTACGTATATGGCATATAGATCGATGCACTGCTATCCAGTGGGAGAAGTCACTAATGCAGGGATGACCAATCTTTGGTCTAATTTAAAAATCTTTACTAAAAAAAATGTCATGGCTATTTGTTCTGTTCTCACAACCTAATGTTAGGAAGAGGGAAGAGAGAGGATCCCCCCCCCAAAAAAAAACAACCCAGAGGATTGATATCTCACCCACTGCTTCTTTCAGACCTGTTTACAAAGTGATCTGAAACTGATGAACCTCAGGGGAAAGAAAAAATTGCCCTCCCTTGAATCAAGTATAATGTCTGTGTTGGGGAAGACAGACCACTCATTTATTGGGTTTAATGTATATGGTTGAATTCCAGTGTTCACAGTCCAAAATGGTGCTGACAAGCGCTGAAAGGAAATGGAGCACAAATGTTGTCTTCTGCCCCTGTGGTTTAAAACACAGAAATGGATTTTTCCTTTAAGTATTGTGTACTCTGCTGGAGAGCTGATCAAGAGAAGGGCAAAATAGTAAAAGACTGCACAGCAGCAGATGCTCCTCCATTAAGTGTTCCTTATTTATTTGTGGGGCTGCATTTATTGCATTCTTGCAGGGCAATGATAGTTTAGAACAGCTTTTGCCAACCTATTGGGATGATAGCTGTAGTCCAATATATCTGCAGAGGACCAGATTTGGAAAGGGTAGTTTAATAGAGAAGAAATAGAGAAGACTAGAAAATTGCTTGATGGGCATCTCATGTTGCTTAAATCAAACTTGCTGCTTCTTGCATTACTTACACTTGACCTCTTGTCTGTGTTCTGTGACACTTTCTTTCATATAAAATCTGTCAATAGGGCATTGATCTATGAGTTTAATCAACCTTTGCACGATCAAAACTGCTAAGCGTAAACTTCCACGGATGTCAATTTGATAAATAGCATAAACAGTGGCAGCTTTCCATCATGGGTGTTTGAAACATTTGGATCACACACAGGTCATATTCCCCAGCTGTTTCCCAAAAAGGCAAAACACTGCAAAGAGATTCTCAGTGTCTATACCCTTTTCATGTGGTGCTGGTGCAATGAGGGAAAAAGCATAGAGAGATGTCCCTATTGAACTTAACGTCTCTGACTGACTGTCAGTTGCCCACAAAAAGCTGTGCAGTACCATATAGTGACAAAAATTCATCATTCTGGTAAACATTTCACATGGTACAAGAAATACTATGTATCAGACCTGCAAGCGAATGCCAATTAGGCTTCCCAATAGAGTAAATTCTACATTTTTAATGCCACCTGAATATCCCAATGTGCATGAGAACTGGAAACCATATATGCACTACTGTTGATCAATAATCCTTTACTTTGGGTATCAGGAATGTTGATCTGATTTATTCATAAAGTTACTTAATGCTTTAAAAGAAGATAATTAAAATCTGAGAAAAAAATAAAAATAAATCCCTGAGAACTACATACAGAGGTTGGGGGGAAGGAAGTATGAGAGCTCTTTATGTACAAATATCATAATTTTGAACATGCATCTTGGGCCTCTTAAGGGCCTCTTGATCTACTACTGGTTTAATGTGAAACCTTAAACTGGAAGAGGGACTTTGCAGTGCTGTTGAAGTTGGCTCAGTATGGACAGGTCTCTTGTAATTGTTGGAATGAAGGTGGAGAGACATAACTGTGCTATATAGCCTAGGAAACAGAAAGGAAGCAGAATGGCTTACAGATAGTCCCTCTTTTAGTGATCATTCCTTCAGCAACCATTTGAACTTAACAATGGCACTGAACCAGCAGTAGTGATGACTGGATCTTGTACTCTTGACCATCCCTGCATGACCTTCCTGTCAGATTCCCACAACAGTCAGTGAAAAAGCTGACAGTAAGTTGGAAGGCATGGTGGTATCAGGTCATTGATTAGTGAATCGCACTGTCATCACTTAATGTCAGCAACTAACTGCTGTTGCTGAATGGCACAATCATAGGGTTTTTCAACTTACATCTGCATTGCTTAATAGAGTTTCCAATCCCAATTAGCCTGTATCTGTTTCTGCCCATCTAATTATTTATTCCCTGCTATTTCTTCACTGCTAACAGTTTTGCAGCAACCAAAACAACATGCATCTATGTAGACATCGCCCGATAGGAGTTCACAGAAATCAAATTGACTACAGGTAGTCGTCGACTTACAACCATTTGTAACAACCATTTGAAGTTACGATAGCATTGAGAAAAGCGACTTACAACCGGTCCTTGCACATACCACCACTGCACCATCTCCATGGTCACATGATTAAATGGCAACCAGCATGTATTTATGACAGTTGCAGCATCCCAGAGTCACATGATCACCATTTACAACCTTCCCAGAGGGCTTCCAAAAAGTAAAGTCAATGAATTTACTTAACAATTTTGTGATTTGTTTAACGGGATGGCAAAAAAAAAAGTCATAAAATTGGGCGCAACTTACTTAACAAAATCACATTGCTTACAGAGGTTCCTGTCTCAATTGTGGTTATAAGTCAGGACTACCTTTATAGTATTGTCACAAGGAGGTGGAAAATCTCAATTATAACAACAAAGAGCCAGGAGATAACTGTAGAACAGATCATGAACCATTCATGTGCAAGTTCCAAATGAAAGAACTAAAGCAGAAGAACAAAGCCAAGCAGTTCCTGGTACAATCTTGACCCACCATCATTTTGAAGGAAAACATTCACTTTGAAATTCTGAGCCTCATTAATAGGAACCAGAGGAATTGTAGAATGAAATAAAGAAGTTGGTAAAAATGAATGTGAAAAGAGACGGTCAAAGATTGAGAAACAGAAGAAAACAGACTGGATGCCAGAACAGACAAAATTGCCAAGAAACCGCCACTGATGCCACAATGAGTTAATTGATCTACACTAAAGTACAGCATGTGATAATAGTTACCTTAAAGCACGGATAGATCAAAATACCCCAATCTGTGGTCTTTTGTGTGAATTTAAAAAAAACAATCCCCCTACCCTCCCCCCCTTCCCCACACACACATAACACAAGATACAGTGAAACCTGGTGGAAAATCCTGATTCCTTGGTTGGACAAGAAATCTAGTTTATACCGTGTGGACAGATTCACTTTTTTTTTTTTTGAGATACTGACAGAATGATTAATTGTCCTATCACATTTTGAATAAAGTGACTGGAACCTTTTTCTACTTAGTCTACGGGTTTATTGAGGCTAGATAGTGCTGACTTTGTATACAAGGCTGTCTCTGGGAAAGAAGTGAAGAAGAGGACAGTTCCTCTTTCAGTGCAGAATAGGTTAGTGTGTACTATGAACTCTTTTAAAACAGGTGATTTCTCTGTCTTGAAAGGGTTGCAAGTGGGCCTTTCCACAGCATCTTTCGCATTCAGGACAGCAGCCTTTCTAGTCATGCTAGATCAGGGGAGTCAAGGGCACCCTTGGTAACTGTTCAGTAGAGAAGAGATAGCTATTGGTGATGCCTTGTTCATAAGTTGTTCTTATAAGACAGTGTTGGAACAAGCAGATGATAGACACCAGCTCCCACTTCCAGTGTCCAGCTATTTCACCAATTAATACTAAAAGGAAACCACAACTTTTGGTCTTGTGAAAAGATAGCGGAAGAACTGCTGTCGGTCTACCACTAGGATGATTGAGCTTAGCATGGAGTACCAATGGCCCCTACAGGGGGAGGTGACTCTCGGGTCTTGTCAAACAAAATATTTGAGGACATCTCGGTTTTTATTTTGTTTTCAGAACCACCATCACTGGAAGAAGTTTCTTGACCACATTCATCACAGCAGCAACAGCAGCAGTCCATGAAGGCCTGCCCCAGGGGTTTGCAAAGGCATAGTAGAAGCACAGGAGTAACTGAAGATTTGAAGAACAGGAAGAACTGGTTGACCAAGCTTAATAGGTCCAGGGTCTGTTTTGTCATGTCAGGAGACAGATAGGCCACAACAATATTACTGACATTCTCAGGAATGGTGCAGAGACCATAGATTACTGTCAGGCCAATCACTGTGCAGTTGAGTTGGCTCTCACACTGCCCATGCTTATTGCCACGGCATTCAGTCTTCTCTGAGCTGCTGATCCTTCTGGTGACCAGCTGGCAGCTGACGGTAAAGAGGATCGGCAGGCAGAAGTAGCATCCAAAGTACCACCACATCCTAGCATTCTGATAAGTGAGAACCAGAGAGTAAATTGACTCAGGCAGCTCCTGAAAAGGTTTCATTGTGCAGTAGTCAGACACTACACCAGAGACTGATGAGGTATCCTGTGCCAGCTGCCAAAGAAGGAGCTCTGGGATTGAAAGGGTCATGGAACCCACCCAAATAACAGCCAGCTTGGCAATGATGGAGTGGCAGTGTTCAATTGGGCGGAGCTTGGCTTGAGGGCTGGTAGCCGCATGGAATCTGTCAATGCCCAAGGCACAGAGGCTGAAGGTGGTGATTCCCAAAGAAGTCACCTAGGAGCATAATAAAGAGAAGTGGTTGAACTGAGATGGTCAAAGAGTGAAATAAAACATTCTCCTCTCCTTAACTTTTAAGTTAATGAGGGAATACAGACATTTTTCAATTTTGTGCAAAAGGATTTCAAAGAAAAAATAAACCCTGTCTCTAGCGTAGGAAATTCCAGCACTTTTTAAATGCTCCAAGAGCAACTATACAAGTTTGTGCAATAATTCTCCAGAATAGAGATAGCAGCATGGGAGATGGCAAATATCTTCATATGAAAAGATGCATACAGTATTTAAATATTAGTGTCTGTTATGAGAATAATAATCCCATTTAATTCTGTAACCTGAACAGAATAAGTCACATTTGGGGGATCAGCTCTACCAAGGAATGTGTGTGACCTTTTAATATATCAGCTTTTATTCTTGAGCATTTCCATGTAGAGTTGATGTTGAAGTTGTGTAATACACCATGTTTCCCAAAATGTTTCCCTACAAACATCAGCATGGGAGTTGCAGCTTAATAAAGATTGTTTTGTACAATATTTAAAGAAGCATATTTGCTTTCTTAACTATGAGGATATGAAAAAAATGCTTCTGACTCTCTGTTTACTATCTTTCCTTAGCTACTTCCCAATTAATTGCAATGTATGAGGACACTATGGATCCAATATTGTTTAACAAATCCAAATATGTGGACACTGATATGTGGTTGATTTTCTAGTTCTTTATTTGATTTTAAATTATTAAAATATCCATCTAAGTAACAATCTTACTTTCCTGCTCCATTTATTCCAATTGGTTTCCCCTCTTTTATATTTTCATCTTTTTTCGATTCCTTATATTCAAAGTGAGCCGAAGGACATTTAGATCCTTGGTGGACCTTTGAATAATTGGCAATAGATCAGGAAAGTTACTAATTCCTAACAATAAAGCAATGTTAATAGCAAAAAGCCCATTCTTCTCCTAAAATCAAAGATGGACTTGCTAGGAAACAGAAGCATGTGGGAGTTTTACTCTGATATCAGGAACCATTTTGGAAGCTGGTACATTTTCAGATTGCTTTATACTCATTTCAGTTTCCACATCCCATAACTTCTGTTTTGCAGCTGCCTTCATTTGGTTCACATGAAAATAGATCTTGCAGACTTAAAAACAGTTTTGGCACTGTCAGCACTGTTTGCACTTCTATTTTAATTTTAATCAACAAATGCAGAAGAGATGCACCTCTTATTTCTTTGCAAAGATTCAGTTTTAAAAACTATAATGTGAATGTGGAGTGAATTTCTGCTGACTATGACATCACGTATCCCTGTCTCAGCAGCTGCCAGCACATGGCTCAGAAGCTAAATAGTCTCCAGCCTGGTTTGTTCTTGGATGGGAAACCACTAGGGAATTCTTAGTCAATAGAAAGCTTAAAAAAATTCCAGGAGAAAGCAATGGCAAACCATTCCATATTTATATCAAGAAAACTGCATAGATATATCCATGTGGTTGTTAGGAGTTGAACTGACTCAAAGACACTGTCCCTAAATAATTACAGGAGAAATACTATGTCACTCTACAGCAGGGGTAGTCAACCTTGGCTCTTTTATGACTCGTGGACTTCAATTCCCAGAATTCCTGAGCCAGTTTAGCTGGCTCAGGAATTCTGGGAATTGAAATCCACGAGTCATAAAAGAACCAAGGTTAACTACCCCTGCTGTAGAGTGACATAAAAATCAACAAAATTGCAACACCTTTACTAACAAATGTAATTAAAAAGGAATAATATATACCATATCAACCCCCCCCCCCTAAGCTTTTTGTCTCCCATCCCTTTATTCTGTTCCTTGAATATCATGCTTCCATGATTTACATGGTTCTTTTTACAGAGGGCAATTATTAAGGAAAAACCAATGGAAGAAACACCTTAAAAGATCAGGAGAGATTCTTAGGTCATTAGCTAGTAGTCCTTAAACAATCTTTGGTCCTTTCCAAAAAAATCACTGAGTCAAAATGCATCTACTTTCTGAGCATCAAATGAGTTAAGTAAGTTTGTTGACGTCCCAAACCAGCTTTTGTTAATTTCCGCTGCATTCAGAATCACAGGAAAACATCCTTGTCTGCCAAAAGGGAAGATGGCGAAGCGTGGAGGAGAAAATGCCAAACACTGGGTGGGTTGGACAGACAATGTAGAACATGAATAAATATCAGCTAGGGAGGCGGAGGGAGGGCTCGCCTCCTTGCACAACACTCTCCATTACAAATGCTGTGCTTTCCTTTGGTTCAGGAAATACTACGCCTCATTTGGACAGCTGTTTATAGACTGCTGAAGAGCTCCGGGCCCTAATTGCAGGCACCCGCTCACTTCTCAGAGGAAAAAAGGGCATTCATTTAACACCGGAAGCTTTGGAAATCAAGCAAAGAGGCTTACTTTCTTTATTCTTCCTTTTCTCTCCCTTCCCTGTTTTGTGTCCTTTGAACTGCAGCCAAACCAGCACAAAACAGAGCAATTCCAGGGTACAATCTCTCATGGTGTTTATTAAACTATGAACTTTCAATGGATGCTTAAAAAACTTGATGCAAGGCCATATTCGTATTTGTGGCCATCATATTGATGAATGCTAAAGAAAGATGGGGTTTGTGGAGAGCTTGTTTGAAAAGGCAACCCAAATAAAGAATTCGATGTTCCAAGCAGTTACACTATATGATTAGAGGACTTCGTAGATTAAGGCTGCTTGGCTGCTTCTGCTGGCTTGTACAACAATGTCTCACTGAATATCCAGTTAGGTTGTACCATCAACTGTTTCTAAAATATAAGTTAAGAGATTTCAAGATGGATACCCATGTTAGCATGATGCAGCAAACAGGAGGATGTCTTCAAAATGAATTTGAAACTTGAGTTCTGCTGTTTTATTATAATACTATGATGTACTACAATACTTTTTTTTGTATATATCTGCCTTTGAGGAAGGGTTGACTTCTGGCAAATGCCTGGACTAGTCCCTACAGTTTTCTTGGCAAGGTTTTCCAGAAGTGGTTTGCCATTGCCTTCTTAAGCGCGTGCGCACGCGCGCACACACACACACGCACACACACAAGCAGAACAAGTTCATGTTTGGTTGAAATTAAGAGGCATCTGAAGTAAAATTCTGGTATGAAAACCTTTGTGGAGAAAATACAAAGCTGTATAAGACTCAGAGAATCGGTCTATAATGGAATTGCAAATTTGCAGCAGGGTTCCTGATGTGACAGACAGCAAAGAGTACTGACATTAGCAAAGCAGCTGTAACAAAATCCATTTAAAATAATTGTCCTTAAATAGATGCTATCCAGATCTCTTAAAGTAGATCTCTACATTTTATCTCATTTTGCAGAATATTCCGGTGGGGTTTCTTTTATGAAGAATAATCCAAACCTACAATCTTTCATCTACAACCTGAACAAGTCCCTGAGGAAAAAAGAAATGCAGCAGGTGATAATTGCTGCTTTGGTAGGAAGCTTTTATGTAACAGTGCTTAGAATCACAGCCATAAAGTTATTGGCACAACAGGAAAATATTAGAGACTATATTACAGTTCTTGAATTAACAATTCAGTTATCGACATTGTAGGAGCAGCAGTGCAAATATAGACAGCTGGGTTGATGACATCAGGAGAATTTGGCTGATATTTGGCTGATCTATGCAGATCTGAAGATTTGTATATCTAATTAACCGAGGACAAAAGTCAGTGAACAGTTGTTCCTACATGACCTAAACGTTTACTGTGACTCTACTGATATGGATAGAATTGTCTAGTGTTAATTTTAGACAATATTTTGTTATGAAGCTATGAACTTTTAGCATATAATCTATTAGTTATTCTGAGATAAATAAAACAGGTGCAAAAATAAAGACAAATATTCAGTGAGATGAGGGGAAATCAATAGTTTCTATTTAAGGCAATTTTCTATGAATTCTATGAAATATGAATACTAAGGCAGCTCATAGTTTGAAGGGAGGACAGTATGGCAAAATGCGATTCTGCTTTTGCCATTTTTCCACTGCAAATTATCCCTTTCAAGACACCTTTGCTGTTTTCCCATATGGATAACTGTAATCTCTTAGATCAGGGGTCCCCAACCTCCAGGTTGTGGCCACTACTGGGCCGTGGCCTATTTGAAATTGGGCTGCACGAGTGGCTGGCTGGAGAGTAGCGCAGGTGCACGCAGCTCAACTTGCATGAGTGGCAGGGCAGAGGGCACTCGCGCGTGTGCGTATGTATCAGCCTGCCGCTTGCCCAAGTTGAGCTGCGCACGTGCATGCTGGCCTACCTCTCATGCTGGCCCACCACTTGAGCAAGGGCTGTGTGTGTGTGTGTGTGCGCGCGCCGGCCCATTGCTCACAAGATTCAGTTCCTCTCTCTTCCCCCAGCTGGGCTGCCAAGCTGCTGCCTTACATGCAAAAACAAACTCAATGATACAGAACAGTTTTTGCAAAAGAGAAACTATTGGTTCATATGTAGAATTCCATGCAGATGGTCTTTTTTCCTGGAAGATAAAAACTTGGCAAAAATAAACAAATAATCAACGCATCAGTGAATATCAGAATATGGTAGTTTAAAGAAAATAATAGTCTTCAACCTTTCATAGAAACAAAATCAAATATCTTAATGACCTATCTAACAGGAAAATAATCTGAATGAATAAATATGAAGATGGCCAATGCTTAATTTTAGCAGGTCTATTACATCTGGACTGCAAAAACCATTAAGATCACTAGATGGCAGCAAAGCATTAGGTTTTTCCACATCTCTTTGCCACCATCTACTGTCATCTGGTTTTTTGCAACCTAGATCTTGTAGCTCCAATTTTAGGTGTACTTTCAATACTGCAGAAAACTGCATAGTAACCTAAGTCTGCCTAGATTTTTCACAGTTAGCATGGTTTCTGGCAGTGAAAGGATATGCAAGAATAAGTACTTGACCTATGATTGCATTTTCCTATTTTGCAACGGGCCTTTGATGTATCCAACTGTTAGTGCCCTTGTCATATTACATCAAGGACCCATTGTCTTCTCTGCCTCCTTCATGTACTCTGCTGTCCCCTTAGTCAAGCTCTGAATCATGCACAGATGTCCATCACCTGCTTTGCTCTCATATCCTCCTTCACTGAGCAGGAAAGTTATAGCAATTACATTGGAACATTGAAGTTTCTAAGGAAGGACAATCTATTCATTATGTTTGATAGAAAATAATTTGTGTGCACAACTGTTCACATCAGATATGTACCATTACTGTCCATTTTCAGTCTAAACAAACCTTGCTTTCAGTACTCACCTCATTTCAGCTGCTTTCTTCCAACTGCTTTCTTACAAACAGAAGGAACCTGGTCTTTTGAAATTATGTCTTAGATATTATAAAAACCGAGATCCACACCCCCATTTTGTTCCTTGCTTTGTAAATGTTCCAGTTTTGCGCATTAATAGCATGGCACTATCTTATAAAATCTTTTAAAGAACTCACAGTTCCAAATTCATTAAAGATTCAACAGAATAGGAGTGCACGGAATCAAAGATATAAATAATGATGAAAGGAGTAGATAATTGTTTCAATTATTTTATTTTATTAAATTTGCATGCTGCTGTTTGGTTAAGCAATGGATGGAAACTAATCAAGGAGAGAAGCAACCTAGAACTAAGGAGAAACTTCCTGACAGTTATAACAATTAATCAATGGAACAACCTGCCTCCAGAAGCTGTGAATGCTCCAACACTGGAAATTTTTAAGAAGAGACTGGACAGCCATTTGTCTGAAATAGTATAGAGTTTCCTGCCTGAGCAGGGGGTTGGACTCGATGACCTCCAAGGTCCCTTCCAACTTTTTAATTATTATTATATTAAATAGTTAAAAAACCTTTTAAAATAGTCATTAAAATCAACAATATCTGTTTTCATATAGTACACTTAGCCAGATTAGTTATTATTTTTATTTTTTATTATTTTTATTTCTTTTATATTGTGTTTTATTTCCTGTAAGCCACCTTGAGTCGCCATGAGCGAGTAGGCAGCAATATAAATTTTCCAAGCAAATAAACAAATAAATAAAGGTTTAGCATAAAAATGTTCTAAACTTGGTTTGGGATAGTTAACCTTGGTTTACGTTTTTTTGGTTTAGCTTAATATGCAAATCTAAACTATTGGCTAGCTGATAATTCAATGTATATTGTAAAGTCAGAAATGTATTAAATCAATAATTGGTTAAAGACACTGTATGAATTCAATGCATGTCCTTAAACTCAATTGTGCTCTAAATACAGTATGGCATAGGAGCTAGTGGTAATTCTGAAAAGTGTTGCTGTCTTTACAGAAAATGTCAATCTATGGTTAACTTTATTGAGTAAACCACGATGGATAGATTTTTCTCTATGACAATCTGTTAGATGGAATAGTTAGATACTACTAAGCAAGCAGTCCACCTCTATTTTCAGTTATCCCATATCCAACACACAATATTTTACTTTCTGTTTAATAGAATATAAAGTTTTGGACCTATTCTCTATTTCCTAGAGGACAGGACCAGAATCAGTTAATTAAAGGCTATAAGGATGTAGATTTAAGCCAGGTATGAGGAAGAACTTTCTGACTCTCTACCCCAGAGGTCTTCAAACTTGGCCCTTTTATGACTTATGGACTTCAACTCCCAGAATTCCTCAGCCAGGTCACAAGGGCCAGGTTTGAAGATCTCTGCACCCTATACAGTAAACTACTGGAACAAACTTACTCTAATGTATTCTCCTTTATTTGAGGTCCAGACAGAGCATGGATAGTCATCTCTCAGTGATGCTCTAATGGAGCTATGACACTGAGCTAGGTGATTTCTAAAATCCTTTCCAGTTCTTTTATTGTTTATGTCAGGCCCAAGAGATTATTCCATATAGCCTAAACTAAATAGATATTTCCAAGTAAAGGTCACAACCTGATCAAAGGCTTGAGGATAAGTGTGATGGTAGCACAGACCCTGTAAATTCGTTGCAGGCCCAACCAGTTGAGCAGGTTTCTATTGGTGCTGATCTCTGCCTAGGTTTTACTTCAGTTATGTTCCTGTTTGGTGTGGCAGCCAGCTGATAGAAATGTAAATCTATTGGAAGTGTGGCTAATAAATTTAAATAAATAAATAAAATACCATCTAATGACAAGATTGTGGAAGGCTGAATTCAATGTCCCCATCCTTGCAAGTCTTTTAAAGTGATATGGTGAAATTTGGATTTATGGAAGTAAGGCTGTTGCAGTCGTATCTAGTTAATTGTGTTTTTGTAAATCCCTAGTGCACTGTTGAAAGAAAATTAAAATGGCCTTTCCCTGCCGTTATTAACAAAGACTCCATGGTAATGCATTTCAGCCAAATAGATTTTCCATGGAAACTTCACATCGCTCAAAACACAGCTCCTCCTTTTCTCTCCTTTTCATCTTAGGAGAAGCCCAACTCCTAGGGAAGACATATAACCTTCATGAGTCGCAAAGCTAAAGTTTTACACCATAGCAGGTTTTGTACAGATTTATGATCTGTTGAAAAGGTCACTTCATTCAATATCTCCTTCTCTCACTCTAGTTATGAGAGTAAGTTGATGACTATGATATATACCCCAAACTCTCTCTCACTGGGTATTGCTGGATATGACCAGGGATGCTGACAACTGTAGTTCAGAAATATTCAGAGATCCATAAATTCTTCACCCTGGTTATATGGCTTCCAAATATTTGTCATTTATGATTACCTTGATCAAGGTAGTTAATAACTCTTTTTTAATTTAACAGCCCCTGAGATTTAAAGAATTAGAATAGTAACAATTGTTGTGTCCTCAGAAGAAATTCAGTATTTTCAGCCAATGATTCAACGATAGCTAAACTTTTACTTGCTATCATCTTATCCTATTAAAAGTAAAATTCTCTGGTTCAGGGAGAATAATTTAAGGAAGACCATCCTTTCACAATTAAATGGTCTTCAACCAATTACAAGTGATAATCTTCTAGACTTGTTTCCTTCTTCATCCTATGTTCCTGTCCACCACCTATGCCTATGGTCAGCAGGTATAATCTGAAATGCATTATATCAATTGGGCAAGAATTTCTCTTAGACTGGCAATTTCCTTTCAGAACTCTCAGTCTTGAATTATAGAAGAATCTTTACTCAGTGTAATTAAATGTGCATGATCTCTAAAAAATGATGGCTTGAGTCTAGGTCTTGAGCTGTCAAACTAGAGAAGGCCTACACCTGCTAATTATAGATTCAGCACAAGCATTAGATGCACTTACTTTTTTTTAATTAAGATCTTATTTCTTGAGGTGACTTTAAAGCTCCACTTTTATAATCTTAATGTGAGAAGTACCTAGTTTTCATCTATTAATGCAGCATCCTTTAACCTGTTGTTCTCCATACGTTAGCCCTATCTACATGGAAGATACCAAGCTGCTGGACAGTCTATTAATAGTTAGAATATATTAATGGTTGAATCATTAATATTTATTAATCATTAATATTTATTAATGATTGCATAAAAATTGCACATTATTATCTCCTAGAAATATAAGGCACAACTTCAGCTTTGTATCTCTGGGGTCAACACAGAAACATTCTTCAAATAATTGGCATTGAAAAAAGCATAACTGTGCTTGTTTCCATTTTTCCCAAAAGCATTATTGTTATCATCTTTGGAACAGAAATGGTGTTTTCTATAGCTCAATCAATCAATCAATCAATCAATCAATCAATCAATCACTCCTCAAACTTGATGTTAGGAAAGCTCAGCTTATTGGGTATTAGTAAGGCCAAATGTCATTGGATTAAGTCAAATTCAAAACATAAAGCTGGCCAAGCACAAATAACATTATCCCTCTGTTCTCCAAATGGAGATATAAAGTTGCTGAAGATATATGCTAGAGCTTAGCAGAGGAAACTCTTACCTCCATGAAGGGCACAAGGCGACAGGAGAAGTTTCCCAGCAGTCTCTTCTTGGTAATTTCATTGAAGATGACCACAGGTAAGCAGAAGAAGAGGATAAGAAAATCCCAGAAAGCAAGACTGGCCAAAATGGAATTCCAGGCACTTTTCATGTAGTAGTTATGCCAGACAATGCACATGACTGAGAGGTTCCCAACAATGCCCACAGCAAAGACAATGAGCGACAGGAACATGACAGCATAAGCACTATAAGAGCTTTCTGTCACTGGATAGAGAGGGTTCTGTATCTGAAGACGCTTTCCTAATGCCACAGTTCTATTAACCTGGGCCTCTCTATCACCATAGACCGCCGGGCTCTGTTGGTGGGGTTCAAAAGGATCTGTGCTGGATGGTGCTGGAGGCTTTGTTGGCTGTAAAGTGGCTGGGTTTGCAGGCTGAGGAAACTCTACTTTGACTCCTGGAACATACTGCTGAACTGACTTGCCATCATCATCTTTCGTTCCCCTACGTGTTCTTCTCCACCTCAGCTGTTCTTCTGAGAACTGTTGCTCTTCATGGTTGCAAGTTGGTTCTGAGTCTCTCATCCTGCCTAGTTCTCCAAGTAACTCCATCAGGATGCCTTTGGAATTCATGTGTCTTTTAAAGTGACCTTCTCCAGCCTTTGCATCCATTCTGGAGGGTGCATAGTTTTCTTCAATAAATGGGACAGCTCCTTCTTTCATCAAGGTTTCCAGTGGCTGCAGAAAACTAAGCAAAAGCATACCTGTCCAAGGCAAAGACATCCTTCTTTCTGAAAAACAGAGGTAAAGAGAAGAGATGCAGAGAAAGGAATTCACCGAATAAACAGAGATGTCACTGCCCTCAGTGAGAAAAGGAAAAAGTTTCTTCACTTTGACTTGTGGTCTTAAAAGAGGGTCAGGGACAGGGAATAGAATAAGCGAGGAGATTGAAGTCTCAGTCCTGCTTGAGCGACGACAGAGAGACACTTTGGTCTGCCTTGCCAGCTCACTGCTGCTGTTTATTCCCTCAGATCTCTGGGCAGAATTAAAAAAAGGGAAAAAAAACCCAGTAATTCATTCCAATCCTCTTTTGTTGGACTACAGGCCCCCTGGTGGCCAAGCTACAATGCCTACTAGCTCCTGTGAAAGGATAAAAAGCCTCACAGCCCTTGAGCCAGGGAAAGAACAGTAGAAAGAAACCACCTGTTTTAGCCATAGACCTTTGTGCAGACGATTCTATTTGTATTTGTTTTTGTGGTAAGGAGAGTGTATTTCAGAAAGAATCAGCAGCCTGTCACCAAAATATTTCCCTTTGGCCAAAATCTAGGGAAATCCACATGGTAACTTCTAAAATCAGTTTATGGGTTTTTATGGAGATCCTAGAACAGGGGTGTCAAACTGCCGGCCCGTGAGCTGGTTTCATCATACCAAAGCTGCGCCTACCCCATTGCCGGCAATGCAAAAAGAGTCGCGATACGTCAAGCCACATCACATGACGTGGCGAGTTTGACACCCGTGTCCTAGAAAGATGCTTTGAACAAGGGCAAAATAAAAGAGACACTCATGTGACAGTACAGTAGGTTTCACACCTGTCTGTGAGGGGACAGTTCAGAAAATCAAGCAGACGTGCTGGGACTATTGGCTGAGTGTACTAAAGAAACTTTAGAAAACTTGTCCTTAGCCACATGTTTCAAGAATATTTACTTTCTGTAATATTATAGCATTTTGCCTTGCCACTTTTTCACAGTGTTGGATCTTCAGGTTTTCTTAATACTATATTCTAACCTTTTCAAAGTAGTGTAGCAATTACAATTGGACTAGGGCTGAGAATGACTCTGGTTTATAACCTGACCCTGATTCTGCCATGAGAACTGAATTCTGCCACTGGATAGGTTCAATCGCTATCTGACAGCCTAAGCCAATCCCACAGAACTGATATGTGGATAATATTAGAGAAGGCAAATATTATATGCTCTGCATGGAACTATGGTGGAAAGGTGAGATATACATCCAGCCTCCGTTGCTTGGTATTATATGGATTTCTCTCTCAGCTATACATATGATAGCATAGTTAAACCCTAAAAATGCAATTGAGATGCCTAACCTAATTGGGCTGAGGAAAGATTGAGATGTGGTAGAGACAGTGAGCTCTCACTCTGTCTCAGTAAGGCTTACTTTAACTTTCCAGATGTCTTAAGAAACTAGTCTTAACTTCAATATGGCATTTCCTTCTACCCTTTTATCATTTTGCTTCAAGAAATGTCATCTATGTTCTGTATCCAGGCAATGTGCTCTATTTTAAAACTGAATTGTATGCTAAATACTTTCCTCTTCTGCTTAAACTGCTTGCTTCTTAAAGGGCACTTTCACAAATTGTGTTGGACCACGTGAAGAGAAGTTCTATTCTTCGGTGATCCCCTAATATTGTTGTATCTGGCAGCCAAAACATGTATTTTCAGCCCAGCTGTGGTGCAACCAAAAATAATGTAAGTGTGGTTTTTCACAGTGATCAATGTTTCCATTAAATTATAGTTCTTGTCATTCCAACTAAGGTTGCTATTTTCTGATCTGAGTTTTTATGGGATAACCTCTGAAATGCAACAGGCTGGGGAATAGTGCTGTGAACAGAGTAGACAGGAATGGATTTTTCAAATTTGGTTTGTTTTTGCTGTATAGTGTATAGAGCAACCCATGAAACTGGGTGGGTTTTTTGGGTCGCTTGCATGCTTTTTTTCAGGGGGAAAAAGATTGCACCAGTTTCAAAGCTCTTTGATTCCAACAGTACAGCACTGGAAATGGCATCACACACACACACATACAGAGAGGGAGAGGGAGAGGGAGAGGGGGAGAGAGAGAGAGAGGGAGAGGGAGAGGGAGAGAGAGAGAGAGAGAGAGAGAGAGAGAGAGAGAGAGAGAGAGAGAGAGAGAGAGAGAGAGAGAGAGAGAGAGAGAGAGAGAGAGAGAGAGAGATTCTTCCATGTAATCATTTAATTCTATCAAGGTTTTTGGGAAGATAGGCTTAGTCCCTAGATAATGTCCAATTTGCTGGTTGGGCCCAGGACATCATAGATGCAATATTATCCTTGACTGGACAAAGCCAGTGAAATGTAGTCCAATCTATATTCTATAAAGTTGGAGATAATTGGTCAAAGAAAGCAACAAGGATCAATGCTTACAGACATTCAATCACAAGACATAATGTCATAATGCCAACATAATCTCAATCTCTTCTTTGCAATGCACACACCTGAAACACAAAAGGAGCTAAGAAGCTAATAATTACCTAGAATGACTGAATTGATTTTATTTGGAATGCTGTGTGTGTGATTGTTGCCTTTTCTCATTTTGCTACAACAAAACTAGGGCATTTAATAGTGTGCCACTGCCCTGCCCCCTGGCAACATTTAAATTTCAGTGAATCCCATTGTAATTCAGGCCCTCTTTTAGTCCAGGGATTATGCATGATTGAACACTCTGGCAGCCACTCATGTGGCCAGGTCATTCCTTTTAACTTTCCTTAGACTTTATCAGGTACTCTTACTAGTAAACTCCAGAAAACAACTCACTCTCTGTGGTCATATCAAAGAATTTCTCTGATGGCAGGGGATAAACAAAATGGGCTCCAGTAGTTTGGCAACAAAATATTCATTACATGTTTTCCTCAGGGATACATGATCATGGTTACCAGCCTGCTAGCCACAAGCCACTTGCTGCTGATAGCCTTCAGAAATCTCACAGCTACTTCACCACGGAGCCATATTCCCCAGGCATTGAACTGAATGAAAGCCAGCAGCACTGGATGGCCAATCCCCCTTCCTCATTACTTTTTACTAGGACATCACCGTGGTGGACCTGATTCAATGGCTCTCCTCCAATGCCTTATTTCATCCTGCATTCCATGCACAATTCTCCTAGTAGACACCCCTTTGGCGATTCTGCTTCTGGAAGTCAAAGGGAACAAAGATAAGGAGAATCATCTCAAGCACCTAGGATGTTATTGTAATACAGAGTTCACAAGTATACAGCCTTAGCCACAAGTGTTTCTTTCATTATATGTGTCTTCATCCACACCTCTGTTCTATGGCTCAAACAACTAGCTGAACTCATTCTTCCTCAGCAGCAAATTCACCTATGACATGAATAATCTAGGGTAGATAATGGGCTATTTTCATCCAAAGGTATAGCAGCCAACATGACCACTAAGAGACAACTCTCCTTCCACTGGAACAAATCAAGTACAAGTACAAATCAAGGGTGGAAATTTTTTTAGAAGAGGTTTTAGTTGATGTCCTAATAAGACCAAAGGGCAAAAAGATACTAACTCTTAACCAACAGAAAATATGAAGAGTAGGGCACCGCTCCTGTGAAGTTCTGACAACCTCATTCATTCCTTTCATCCCCCAAAGAGACTCTTAAGACACAACAAATACTTAACATCCTACAAAGGGGAGAAACCTTAAAACTACCTATTAAAAAGATTGTATTTGAGATACATAGCAAAATCTTTTGTACCAAATCTAAGGCTCAAGTCAGCTGTAATAAGATATGCTATCATGATTATTTTGAGGTCATCTTTTCACCTTTATGCATAGCCCTTCCTTAAGTTCCCCTTCCTTTTGTTCACATCATCAACACATTCATGCAATCTCACTGTTTTTCTCCTATTTATTGATTGAAACTCTTGAAGGCATCATAATAAACATATCAAGATGGTATTTTGGACTAACTATGAAGCAATCATTCCCTATGCAATAAAGTTTTGCATATTATTTAACCATTAACATCTTAGGAGATATCAGTCCTTGTAAACGACAAGAGTTGATCATATGATCCAACCAGGCCCTTTATGGAAGTGAGAGGGGCAGTTTTATTTTCCAAATAATATGCCTTCCCGCATGGAAGAACCCTGGCATAATGGTTGCATTACGACAGATGTACAGTGACTTTTGCAGTTGCTCAACATTCAGATAATTAAAGCCTTGGTATTATCTCAGCTAAAGCCTCAGGCACTCCCTGTCCTAGCAAGAACCAGAGATGGAAATCAAACTTTAAATACACACGAATTACAGAAAGGATGTATCATGAAGGTTAACTGAAGCTTTTAGAATGGCACTGACATGGAGTTTTACTTTGTCCCTGCATGCCATCTGAATGAGGCAGCATTTTTATAAGCTATATGTGGCATGAGGCCAGATTACTTGCAGGACTGCCTATCTTTAGTGGTCTTTGTCTGCTCCACCAGATCTGGAACCGTAGACATGCTCTGAGACACCCTTGATGAAGAAGGATCAGCTGCTAGGATTTAGGATGCATACCTTCTCTGTCATGGCACCTGCTTCATGGAAAAATCTTCCCTGGAAATTCCGGAGGCCCCATCCTGGCTCCTCTCTACTCCTGCCCTCTGCAGTCACCAGGACCAGGATATTAGTGGAAGCACAGTATGTGTGTCTGATTATGGAGATTTTAACAGGGACTTTAACTTGGCTCATATAATTGATTCTAACTGTTTATTTTTATCTTCTGTTTGTCACCCAGAGAAGATAGGTGGTATATCTTCATGTATACAGTATAGACGCACACATACTTTTTGGGTGGGCATGACCAATATTTTCCCCTTAGATTTACGTAGGTGGGGAATTTGTTTTGCATTTTTTTTATACTGACGTTTGGAGGAATGTTTCCTTCAGATAAATGATTTACTTGCAGTCAGGTTTGTAGGAGAAAGGTTTGGGACTGTGCACTGTTTAGTTCTGCCTCATGTTTACTTTATATATCCATCTTTCAGCAAGAACTACTTGAGCAGAATCAGAGGACAAGCCTCTGTTCCTTGTGATTAAAGGCCTGCAATAAGACCATTTGGCTACATCAGTTTCCTTGAGTTTTGTATCATTTCACCTCTGCTTAAACATTCCAGGTTTGTCCACAGACCAGCAAGACTTGGAGATAATAAGCAAAAAAGCCAGAGGGCAGAGTTAGAATAGGTGGACT